TTATTTTATTTTATTTTTTTTTATTTATTTATTTATTTATTTATTTATTTTTTTTTTTTTGGTTTGTTTTGAAGCGTTCTGTAAAACCTTATGACAGTACAACAGATGAAGAAATAAAAATAATACGAAGAAAAGCGATGAACTCTCGTGAAAAAAGCCGTGTCTTGCTAGGAAATAATTGTTATAGTTTGTTACGCTGATCTGTTACGTGTTGCGCCTTGTACAATTGTCAGTAACGGCGATGGACAAAAAAAGATAAATATTATACCTTTGAACGTTACTCGTTTTCACAAAATTATTAAGCGCATTGTTATTTTGTATGGTCCCATACATTTTTTCTATGCGATATCGTAATATGGTATGGAGACATTAATAAAAATCATTTAAAGCTAATTAAACATTGTGTCTGTCATTATTCCCTCCTTTATCGGACTCCTTTACTCCAAAAATTCAGCCCAATATAAAGTATTACTATAATCTACTTACTATATTCTATACTACTATATTACTATATAATACTATATTACTATATAATATATTACTATACTTACTATATTGCTATATTCTATACTATATTACTATAAAGTATTTTTGTGTGTCTGTGTGTGTGTGTGTGTGTGTGTGTGTGTTGTGTGTGTGTGTGTGTGTGAACACGAACAAATACATTTTCAAGTAATATTTTTTCTTTCGAGCAAATAGATTTATTCTTCAATTATTAAATGCACATTATTAAAAACTAATTTGCAATTTATGCGTTCAACATTCAAAATTCTACATTGATTAGAAAATGTTCTTTATATTAAAAAATTAAATAAAATTTTATCTTTAAATATTGTCATGATACGAACAAGCTATATTGTTGTGACTATGCATTAATTCAAAGATAGTATTTTTATAAATTATTAATATGGTTAGATTAGCATATAAGCTATCTATCTGTGTAGAATATTCAGATAATAAATAAAAGTAATATATAAAATTGAAAAATATCAAAACAAAACTGAAAAGATCGATTAAATCAAATTAAAATTGTATGTTATGAATTTTAACATCACAAAGCATATAATTGATTCAATAAATTCAATAATAAATATCACGTTCGAGTGTTTTAGCGGTATTCCTGTTACTTCACATCATCTTATTAATTTTCAATTTGGGCTATAAAGAAATATAAAATAAAAAAAAGTTTATTTTTGACATTCGAGAAAATTAAAAAGGATATTATTTCTCTCCTATTTAATCTAGACATTAATGTAAAAGAGAATATTTAGCAAACTTAGCCGAATGAAATCATAGCTGTGCTTAAAAGTTGAAAAATATTTCAGCTTTGTATTTATAAGTAAATTACAAATTTAACGTAAATATACAAATTTTTGTTTCCGTTTCCCTTTAAAACCTTTAATTTTTTACATTCTCCGATTCTTATATATTCACTACATGGAATAATTATGTTATAAAGTTAACATAAAATTAGTTGGTTAGTAGCTAACAATATTTAATAGAATTTATGAAGACTCGGACACTTATATAACAATGACGCAGAGTAAAGTATTTTTATAAAATATCTTTATAAAAACTAAATTATAAACAATATATATATATATATATATATATATATATATAATTAAATTAGCTCAATCATCATTTACTGAAAAAGATCGTGTCATAATTTTTTAATCGTAATCGCATTTGTTAAATGTATATTACTTTCAAATCGTATTAGGAAAGTCAACAATCCATTTCTATCTACTAAATAAACATTATTTAAAGTTTTCACATTTTAAATATCATTTATAATTTCCTCGTATTTCGTATGCAAATAATAGTGAAATAATTTATTGCATATATTATGATTTTTCAAAATTAAATTGATATGATCTATGATATTTTATTTTTCTGCAGATTCTTGTTGCGAACATCGGAACATATAATTTGAAAACATTATCTGCTAATTATTTTAAAACTAATTTAACAAATATTACATTGTTATTTAAAATAGACAAAATTTGTAGAAAAAAAAACGGTATATCAATGATATATTCTATTGAAATAAAATTATTCTCAAATAATTGTAGAATATTCCTCAATTTAATTATGTAATTAAAATAAAATGTCCATAATTTCATTGGTATTGAAAAAAATTCACGTAACAAGTGAATTAGTCGTGAAAGTTTTGAATAAAATACAAATACTGTATTGCGTAATATGTTGTTCGATGGACATGCACTATGTACTATTATTTTTAATACACGTGTGTCACAGCTCACGTCATGCTTACGCGAATGTTAGTAAGCGCGTAAATACCTCATAATTAGATCAATGAAATACCAGGAAATTCGTATACCTTGTGTGCGCTTGTGTCTGTGTATCCGTACGTGTTTGTTTGAATGTAGAGAATACTAATAATACTTGTTGGACAAACCAGTTTTTATACTTAGGCAAAGCACTTATTTATATATGAAAATTAATTTATCAGTCAATTATTAGCTCTAAGTGAATAATACATTACTATATTATTTTATATTTTTAAAATATTTAATCATCCAATAATGTGTCGTAATAATATAAAGAGGGGTTCAATAATAGTCATAATCTTATCTTGTCATGCAAGAAGTATACATCAGACGTAGTCTCACCGCTTTTAGTCAACGAATCAGAAAAGTGTTGTATGAAAAGGATAGGAGATACACACTCGTGCAACAGAATAAATTTCTTGCTATAGCATAGGAGTAATTACATACATGAGTTTCTTGCTCAATAGTGTACATTTTGTATTTCTAATGTAAGTTACTACTTACGTTCAAGTAGTAGCTTCGGTCCGTTCAATGCAAAGTGTTTGTCGATCAATTGCACGAGAAGGATGTGGAATTTATATTCTTATGAAAATGTAAGAAGATTAATTATTATTATTGTTGCTTAATTGCATTGTCTCTATTTTAACAATATGTATATTTATTATTATGATAAATTATTTTGTGCAGTTATATAAAAATTTCACCATCGAAAATAATATAATCAAGGGTGTTGAGAAGATTTATAATATAAAGGAAAAATCTGTTGGGAAAATCATTTTAAATTCATTTAATAGTAATCTAAATCATGTTTCACAGGTAAATCGTAATTTTATATTAATCTAGCGAATGAAATGACTGTTTTGTTTAATTTCTTTTTTTTTTGTTTTTAACCTCATAAGTGAAGATTTTTAAGTACAACTCTTCTTCAATGTAGAAATAGAATTAGACAAAATGTTATTAAAATTTTATCGAATAAGCAATTTTAATAAAATTTTAAATCTTCAATTCAATGAATAAAATGAGATTTTGAAAGATAATTTAAAAAATCTACGCTTAACTATCAAAATTGCAACTAAAGTCATATTAATATAAATCAATAAGTGTGAACATTTTCTTTAGTAACAAACTAATAAATTAGTGATATATTAGATCGGATTTATCTGCAATTGTTCATTTTATTATTTTTTTTTTTTTTTTTTTTTTTTTTTTTTTTTTTTTCATTTCAATGGATTTGAATGTATTTCAATTGTAAATTTAACGATCTGCATTCATTGTGAAATAAAATTAAATTGGATATTTAAATGTACTTATCATTTTGAAATAAAGAAAATTGTTTCGTCTTTAAATGATTTATTGTTAGAAAATCCAAATGCTTTAAAGTAAGAATAATTGATTGAGTATACGCATGCCATAATTCGTAATATCTTATTTTTGAACTTTAGTTTTGAAAAATATGATATTAAAATTCATTTCGTAACATCATATTCATTCAATGATTTACAAATTTTACTTTATCATTATACGATACATTCAAATTTATCATTAAAGATTAGCAATAATACGTAATGATGATTATCAAGAACATCTGACAATAGGTATAAATTGATAAATCAAGCTTTGCCGTAATTATCGTACCAACAATGAATAAATCAAATCTCGTATCTAAGCGCATTGTGTGTCAATCACGATGCTCCCCTGTAAGTCGGGTTGCAGTGTTCGGGCGTGTCCGATTTTCCAACGTAAAATTAAAACGTTGAAGTATTTTATGAAATTTCTTTACATAATCAGTTTTGAGAGTGACATTTGAAATATTCAGGCATGCATTATCTTGACTATTAATATGAAATTAGTGAGTTCCTCATTGCCCACTATGAAAGTTTTTACGGCGATGTCGAGTAAGCTAAACCGTAAATGCTATTCCAAAACTTAAGTAAAATTTTAAAAAGATGTTGCTTGTGTAAAATTGATTATGTGACAAATTCATTTAATATGGTTCGTAAGAAAGATAGTTTTATATTTCTTAAAGTAATTATTATTATATCTATGCCATGTGAAATATGCTAAATTGCAATGAATAATTTTATATTCTTAAATATTGCGTAAAATCGCGTAAAAATTTTATATTCTTGTACATTACAAAAGTTAAAAAAAAAAAAATAAAAAAGAAAAGAAAAGAATTTAGAAAATTTGGATTTTTAATATTATTGTTTAAAAAATGAATATATTTAATTTATAATTCGTAGATTAATTTGAAAATACATATATATACTTTTTAATGATCACAAAGTGAGAAAAACAAAAAAATTAGTCCATATTAATAAATTCGTAAAAATTCATATATTTCATATTTTCACTTAACAATCATAATCTTACAATTAAAAATTTTCTAATTTTTTTTTTTTTTTTTTTTTTTTTTTTTTTTAATTTTTTTTTTTTTTTTTTTTTTTTTTTGTTTGCAATACTTTGTCAAGAATATAAAGAGATAATATATTGAAGAAAATAAAAATATTTGACGCATTAATAAAGATTTGAAATTATTTTTCATCTTTCTTCAGAATTATTTAAAATTAATTAATCTTTAGAAATTAGTAATTTTCTTATTACCACGAGCTCCGCTTAATATGAAAAGAAAATTATGATTCGTTATTCAGTGGGAAAAATTTCATTATATTAATATCACAACATTTAGTAATAAAAATTTTCAATGCTTATACTTCAGTGCCAAAAACTAATTAAATATAATTTCTGCGTTATGATTCTTAAAATTGGCAGAATAAAATGTATTAAAATGTTATAGTGCTATTGCAAATTTAGTATGAAAAAATAATAATTAAACATAATTGAATTTTCTCGTGACAGATCGAGGCTGAAACAGGTAAGCATACTACATATGCAGAAATGAAAGAAAATTCTATTCGTTGTGCATTGTGGCTGCAAAAACAGGGTATTAAAAGTGGTGATATAATTGTACTTTGTACGAATAATCACTTGAACAGTTACATTCCGTTTGTCGCAACTTATTTTGTTGGCGCAGTTCTGAATCCTTGGTATCACGAGCAAACAATACGTAATTATTTGAACAATTAAATTATATTTTAGCGTAACAGATTTTCGCAGCTATTCATCAATTTCACAAGGATACAACGTTTTTACATTATAGAGAGCGCCCGACATTTTATGAAATTAACTAAACCGAAAGTTATATTTACTATTAACGCCATTGTCGATGTCCTTAAAGAAGCTGCAAAATTAGAAAATGTTAGCGTTACATTTATTATATTTGATAATAATTCGGGATATGAATCTTTAAAGAATATAATGGCAATGCAGAGGGACGATGAAGTTAACAATTTTCAGATAAAAGAAGTAGATAATCCAAAGGACTTTGCCCTAATAATGTTCTCATCCGGGACGACTGGACTACCTAAGGCCGTTGTGCATTCGTATAGATCCCTTTTAAATAATTTATCTAAATATTTAGGTTCTACAGAATCCAATATAATATTTTTATGCTACGCGTCAATTTATTGGGTTAGTGGTACATTAGCCACATTTCAAATACTAACGACACGTGCAACTAGAATTTTCCATAATAAATTTGATCCGGACGAAACGTGCAAGTGCATACAAAAATTCAAGGTTAATTTGTTTACATAATGAGATTGGGTAAAAATATTATTATTTTACATAATATAAGCCTCTTTGTTTCATTAGGTTAGTGCTATGTTATTAAATACCGGAGTAATAAGTTATCTCTGTAAATCAAATGTTCTCACGAAATATGACCTGAGCTCGATCGAATCGATTATCATTGGAGGTTCAAAATTAAGTTTAGAAATTGGTGAAGAATTTAATAAAAACTTCCACATACCTTTAACTCAAGTATATGGTACATTTATTACATTAAATTACTTATAAACGTTCGCTCCTACTAATTATTATCTGTGAATATAAGAGAAGATGATGTAATTAAAATAATTCTTTAATATTCTCTCATAGAAAAAGCTAGGCACATAATAATATTTGAAAGTCTAAAAAGTATTGAAAATTTATATATCAATATATCTCATAGATATATATCAAAGTGCTGTCTTTATATGTCAATCGTTTGTTTAATATGAATTCTTTTCACTTTAACCAATCATCTTTTATATTATTCATGATATAATTAAAGCATTACATATTTTAAATAAAAATTTGTTTTCAAAATTAAAGCCCAATCAATTACAAGTAAAAGTCTTAATAATTAAACTTTGTTCTCCTAACGAAGAATTTTAAATCGATTTTGAACAATCGATTGTTTATAATCGGACAGAATATTTAAAAACAATTAATGAAAATAATTGATTTAAAAAATTTTTTGTAATCCAATTTTGAGTGTACAGTTATATAGTATACATTAATATGTTAAAAACACAATAATATATTGTAAATACTTAAATAATAACGTATTAATAATTGAAATTTTTGCAAATTCTATACATACTTGCTTAAATTAGTAATAGATAACAATCATTTGAAGAATATTTGATTTTTTCCATTAAGGTATGACTGAAATAGGATCGGCTGCCTTAATACAAACACGCGAGGGAAAACACGTCGACTCGGTTGGTTTTGTTGTACCGAATGTGCAGTTGAAAATTATTGATTTGATAAGTAAGGAGCCACTCGGACCCAATAAACATGGCGAACTTTATATTAAAACATCTGCAACAATGATGGATGGTTATTATAATAATGAGAAGGAAACCAAAGAAACTCTTGACGATGAAGGTAAATAAAATCTATAAGAGAAAATAACATTAATTTTAATTATATTATATTCGTAACTAATTCAAGGAAATCTTGTGAAATCACGACGTGTGTTATATATTTTTTACTCTACTATTCATACTTACATAACTATACATTACAAAAATTGTAATATCTTATCTTTTTAATTTACATGAATTTATATTAGCTTTTAATAATGAAGGCCATAACTTTTTTAATGGTGCATAAAGAAAAATTACGTTTACTCGATCTTTTTAATTATTATATTTTCGATTTAATTTACAATAACATACTAACCGACTAGTTTTATGTATTTTAAAGTAATTTTATATAATGATATAATAATTTTAAAAAATTTAGGATGGTTACGTACAGGAGACATAGCTTATTATTCCGAAATTGGTGAATTTTTTATTGTCGATAGAATCAAGGAAATAATAAAAATACATGGACACCATGTTTCGCCCATTGAAATAGAAAGTTTGCTTCTTAGTCATCCGGCTGTGCTGGAAGTTGCAGTTGTTCCTGTTCCCCATAAAATGGAGATAGAACGGGCAATGGCTTTTATTAAAAAAACACCTGGATTTGAGGTTTGATGCTAAAACGCTTGGTTAAATATAAATTGACGATATAATATTTACGATTAAATGGATTAATTAAAAGAAAGCACAGTTGATCGATCGCATTCAACAATTTTTCGAGAATCATAATTATCATAAGTATAATTATTTTAATTATTTTTTTCATAAAGAAAAAATAAAGGATGAATAACGTTATGACGTTGAAATCAAGATAAATTTATTATTAAGAATCTCATGGAAATTACATGCATTTAATGCGTAATACTTCGTTGATTTAAATCATGTTGTTTATTAATTTATTTTTAATTTATACTGGCACAATATATTTCTTATTATTTGATTAAATTATACAAAATATTATAAGCAATTATAAGAATTTTGTAGATTAAAATCTGTAGTTATTATTAAAACTACGACTAAGTATTTGTACGAAATATCAAGGTAAACTGTATTATAATTTATTATATTCGTAAATTTGCTGCTGCAAATTGCCTTTTTTTTATTTTTTTTTTAATTTCATATAAAAAAGCAAAATATAACATTCTAATTAATATATATAAAGTTTTTGAAATTTTTTGAAATGCAGAGTAATCGTTACGAGAACATAGTAATTAATTTGACAATCAAAAGCTAATAATAAATTTCAATTTCTCTACTCAGTTATTATTCGGCAATAACAAAGATTATTACATTCATTTACATATTTGATACAACAATTCTTAATTATGTTATACAAATTATATATTTAAAGGAGAAAATGTGCATTTTATGCCTTCACGTTTCAAAGAAAGTAAAACTTTTATAATTATATTGCATGACTCTCAACGTATTGATTATTTAATATTTTGTACAATATAATTCTTTTTACAATTATTTAATAATATTATAACGTAAATTTGGAGTTAAGATACAAGCGTAACATTCATATTGGAAATTTAATATTTTATTATGTTAATTGAGGGTAAGTGTACAAGATTTAAGAATTCAAAAAAAAAAAAAAAAATAATTATAATTAATGTAATAAATGTAAAATAGAACCATTAATTAAAAATATTTATATTGTAACTTATAGGGCTTACATTATCAATTTAGGATATGGCAAATTATATATGCATGTTTATGCGTGCGTATGTGCATGTCAAAAATTAATTATTGATACAAATATATTATAGGGATTATTAAGAAATTATTTCAATATTAATTGTATTAAGTAAGAACAATCGTTTAACAATAAGCACTCATGTTTTGCAAACTAATTTTTTGCGCTTTAGTATAGAGTAACTGAATTGATTGCTATACTTCTGACTTCGCTGTGATTTAATCAGAAGAAGCAAGATGCTGCGTATAGACAAAAACTTTCACTTAAGCTTACTTTAGTTCGTTTTAGTTCATTTCACTCTTACAGCCGATGCTTCACTGATCCCGACTCAGTCGTACGATTCAATTTACGGCCAAGTGTCGGTGTGACGTCATTTGACACGTTTTTCGTATGTAAAAGCATTTTGCTCGAGCCTCCTCCTTACGTTTTCGTTTAGTGAGCGGCTCGGTTAATTGAATCGAGTTAAAATTCATGATAAAAAGGCACGCAATTCTACGCGACTTCTCAACCGGAAATATAATAACGTCATATGCTCACCTTGCAACGAAGCTGTCGATATCCCTTTGCACTTTTTAATTTGAATCGGCCTCGTATTTCGGCTATAGCGTGAAATCAGATATCCAATCACATTTATCGAGTAGCTTATAATTCGTACTAAGACGAACTTAGTAATTTTTCAAAATCACATGGAAATTTTATAACTAGATAGAATTGTAATAATTTTTACTATTATAAGAACGGGAAAAAAAAATTTAAGTATTTAAGTATTTTCCACGTAATTTACATATTTATATTAAAATTGAATAGAAATGTTGTTAACTGTTATTCAGATATTTAAATATCTCAAGTATATAATACTATCATCAACATAACCATACGCTGTGATCAATTTAATAAAATTATTTTACCATATAATTTAAATTAGGAACATATGTGTTTATGTGTGTAGAAGAGTGTCGTTTACATTTTCTTTTAGTTATTTGATTAGTCAAGCCTGTGAAATCTTATACTTATCGCGACTACGTGTTATAGCGACAAATTCTTATATATATGTATATATATATATATATATATATTTATATCTTTTTAGTCTTATTGTGCATTATAATGACAAATATATGTATTACTGAAATAATTGATCAAATATCTTATTAAAATAGATAGTAATAGTAATGGCCAATTTTTGTTTATTCAATTACAGGTAACGGAAGAGGAACTCGTGAAAATGACGTCTCAATTAGGCGATTTTAAAACAATTAAAGGAGGTATAAAATTCTTAGATGACATGCCATACACTTCGTCGGGAAAAATTGATAGAAAAAAGATCAAAGAAATGGCAAAAGCTTATGCATTATGACGTTGATGTTATTATAATTGTCTGCGAAAATTCAATTTGTTCTATTAATATTAACGAAAATCTTTTAGATATAGTTAAGTAGAAAGTTAATACATTGCATTAATTAATGTGGAATATTATTATATTTATCGTTTTAATATATTTAAATAATTAGTTTGTTATAGAAAATAATAATTATTATATGTATTTAAAGAATTAATTGTGTTCTTAATTTATTAATGTAACCAGAGAAGTACTGAATTTTTATCTCGCGTTAATTGTATGTACAAAAGTGAAATAATTAATGTAAATGTGTATATATGCGCACGCATATATTACGTGATACGTATATTAATTGAAATATTATTAGTATTATCAAAGCTATTAATATATAATGCTTGTTAAAGACTACGAACATAATAAATAATAAAAGGGGTTATTTGAAAAAATTAATGAGAGTATGTTTTTTTTTCTTTTCTTTTCTATTTCTTTTTTTTTTTTAATAAATAAATAAATGAATTTATTCGATGTCTTTCGGATAACCGAATTTCTTAGCCTCTGTAAACATAACTACGAGCGAGTCGAGAATCTCTTGGCCATTCGGTATAATCTGCTCAGCTGGTAGAATGAAACCGTATTTTCCAGTATCTCGTAATTCATAAGTGAAGGAAACTGGTAGTCTTAAAGTGGCTTTCACCCAATCCATTGAGCTTCCACTAGCAGGGTCTAAAAATAATATTAAAGTGCTGGATCACGTTATATTGATAAGGTATTTAGATTTTGGGGTTCGGCTTTTGGCTTTCATCGGATTAAACAATAAAAATTCGGACTTACAAATAGTCTCGGCAATGTTTCCGGTTACGTATTTGGTGCCGTATCTCTTAGCAAGAGCATTGATGGTCGCAACACCAATAGCATGCTATTAATAAAATAAAATAAAAAAAAAATAAATAAATAAAAAAAAAAATGAAAAGAAAAGAAAAAGAAATTAAAAAATAAAATTTCAAATGATTATTGTTGTATGAGAAAATAGACGAAAAAAATGTGTAAATAAAATGCCGGCCGAAGAAAGAGAGACTTACAGCTTCCTTATAGTTGTCGAGGTGCTCCGAGGTATGACCGTACGGGAAAAGAAGAAGTTGCGAATAACTATGGAAGGAAATGTAGGCAAACAGGTGGTCCTTGATAGATTGTAGATAAGCAGAGAGGGACTTCGTCTCAACCTCGGAGAAGGCACTCCTTCCAGCATAAGTTTCGGCGCAGGGATTTTTACTGGCACCCGCACCTACATTACAACGAGCGAAATAGGCGAGAGTACGTTAAATTTGGCTAAGTACTGTAAAGGAGTGACATTAATGCACGTACTCATCCATTTGAAGTCCCAGTTACGATTGGCGTCGGTACCACTGCAGAATAAACTGTTCCTAGATAAAGTCTTGCGCCACAGACGATTCTGCGGGAGACGAAGACGGGAGGAGATGTGTTGTTATTAAGGAGCTAATCGAGGTGTTGAGATAGCAAGCGCTTGTTAATATCGTTGAAGACTTACGGTTGTGTGTGTGTACACGTAGCCATCGGGATTGAAGGAAGGGAATAAGTACCAGTCGTAGGACTCGGCGAGGTTACGAATTTCGGGTTCGGAGCTGTGGAGCAGCTGGTCGAGGATGTAGGTGACCGTTGCCGGTGAGATCCACTCGCGAGCGTGAATGCCGCCCTCGATGAAGATGCCCGATTTATTGGGTCCAAAGCTCAGCTTCACCCCCTTGATCAGGCGATTTTGATAGGTACGACCAGCAACGACGACAGTAACATTGTTCGGGTACTTGACAGACAAGGAGTCGAGCCAGCTGTAGATCTCCTCGAGCGTGTGGTAACTCGTCCAGTCGAAACTTTCCGAGCGTGTCGTCTGCATCTCCCCGTCGATGAGTCTCTGAACATTGTCAATGAACATTTCGTACTTGGTATTCGTCAAGTTCATCAGCTCGGTGAACGCGGCCAATTGTCCTGGTGCGACCATGAGATCGACCGGTCGGTACACGAAGCTCGGATTAGTCCAATACGAATACTATGGAAAGATTTGTTTATTAATCTTGAGGCTCTCATATTCCACACACACTCACTCGCGAAAGCTCATGCATTGCTTTTACATATCGTCCACTTTCGTTAAAACAACAGGACGATCAGTTTTTTTCCTCATTTTGTTCTTTTTAGACGAATCAATGACAGGATATTTCAAAACTAAGTATTAACAAAGTTGTGCATTTAAAAGTGTTCTATTTACTTGAAAAAAAACAAAAAAAAACAAACAAAAAAAACAAACAAAAAAAAACAAACAAAAAAAACAAACAAAAAAAAACAAAAAAAAAAGCAAAAAAAAAAGTAACATCTCAATATCATTTTATTCAGGCTTGCTAATCGATTTCTTTCAAAGTATTATAAATAAACTATAATTAAGTTACCATTATTATTGCAAACACCTATCCTATCCACCCATCCACACATACTATATCAAGCTAGTGTATTTTATCAAGTATTACAATTGTATTTTATCTAATCAATCTATCGTGTAAAACATAAATAATGAAATATCTTATCGGGTAATGTATTATTTCGCCCGTAATGGAACATTAAAAACTTAAAAGTATTTAAAGTTTAAATAATTAAATAAAATATTGACAATTTATTAATCTATCAGTGACATAGAGGACATTTTTCTTTGCATTTTAACTTTCTATTACAATTAGGTATTAGATAGAGGAATTTACGGTTACTTTTTATCTAGCGCATAATTTCCTGACTTCCGGTAATTAAACCAAGTAGACACAAAGAGAAAGGAAATAAAAACCTTGTAAATCAAAATAATCTAAAGGACGTTTGCTTGTTTTCGTTTTTTCTTTCTTTTTTTTTCTTTTTTTTGAACTTTGTTAAAAGTATTTTTTTTTTTTAAAAAAAATTATATTATTGAAAATATTTACTTACACCTTTGTAAACATCTTCTATATGCTTAAGAACTTCTAATTGCTTGATAGTCGAAGGCACAATTCTAAAAACTTTGTAGTTTTCAAAAGTGACTTTCTCCGAAGTAGCTAGGGCTACGAGAGCAAGGATATAAACGGCAAATAGCATCTTTTCTCTAAAAAAAAATAATACTTAGTTATAAGGATAATTGAATTTTAAGCCATTAATTATTTAAAAAATTGAATAAAATATTATATCGTTTGAAATTAATCCTGATAGTTTACTCTTTTTATAAATGAAATTATCTTATACACTATATTAAATTTAGAAACTGTAGAAAAGATATATAAATATTTACTATTATTTATTTATTAGTATAAATTCATAAATAAATAGTTTTACATTGTATCTTTATAAAACTATTTTCTTGTATTCAATATATTCAATTTAATACATCTATCTTACTTTAATGCATATTTTTCATATTATTTTATTACTACTAAATCAATAAATTAAAAAAAAAAAGAGAAAAAATTCCCAATATCTTTAATGCTATAATTTGTAAAAATATACTTTTATTTTGAATGGAGCTTTAATTGTCATTTATCACTAATAACTTATTACTTATCTATTCAATGGAGTTTACAACAGAAGTATTATTGAGTTATATATTATATAATAATTATTCACAAAGATATGAACTAAAAATAAAATTTACAAAAGTATTTCATAAATTAAATTGATGAAAAATTTAAAACAATAAAATTATATGTTATAAAATACTAAGTAAAAAGGAAAATAAATACCCTTTGTTAAATGCAGGAGATCAATTTGTGAGAAATATTATCATGTGTGGCTTGTATTTATTGAACTGTCCCTCCCCACCCACCAGCACGTACTCGCAACGACCTACTACATCACTTATACCGTAGTCTATTTGTATGCCTCTATGCCTGTATGTATATATATATACATATATATATATATATATATATATATATATATATATATATATATATGATCAAGAATTTTATATATGCGTTATATAGGAAATTCATTTATTCTTTCAAAAAATTAATTCTTTATTATGATTTTCAATTATACAATAGTATTCATACTAATACAGATAAAAAACAAATATATATATATATATATATATATGTAATTGTAGAAACATAAATCATAAGTATATATTAGTACAAATTTAAAAATTACTTCTTAAGCTAATAAACATTTTTATAAATAAATCTAATTAGTTTGCAGATTTATTTAAAAAATATATTAATCAAATTTATAATTCTATGGTTTAGTTGTATTAAAAAATTTATTTAAATTACTTTAACAACAAAAAATAAAAAACTGTATATGTGTGAAATATGGCACAATATTTTTATTAATAATTCCGAATAAAATATTTTATAAATTTTATTTTGTAAATTTATAAATCTTTAAAGTTAATTTACTGATAAACTCTGAATCATGTAAAAGCAATTTAGAGACTTTATCAAATTGGTCGTCCCCTAACTATTCATTGGATTCTTCAAGAATTTTGGTATCGGAAAATGTATATTATTAATTGAACGAAAAATTAAATTTAAAATAAAATAATATTGATGCTTTTTATAAACGATAAATAGTTACTATATTTTTCGTTTAATTTAATCTTATTTTCATTTCGTTTGCTTAATGTCATAAATCAAAATTTATTTAATTTACAATTAAAAGTTTACATTTACAAAATTAATTTTTAAAAAATATCTTACTATCCTATCTACCAGCTGAAGAAATGAGAACGACATTACTACGATGCTGGTATGAATTAATTCTTCTTTTTTTTTTTTTGTTATTTTATTATTTTTTTTTTTTTATTATTATTATTATTATTTTTTTTTTTACTAAAATACGACAGAACAACACCAATCGTTGTATATCTATAAAATTATATAAATGAATGATTGAATAAAACAATTACGCATAGATTAAGATAAGACTTATTGATTAAGAATCGAGTGATACTGATGGCGGCATATAATTCTAAAATAGTACAGGTTTATCTATCTATTTACATAAGCTTTGTATAAAACTTATTATTTTCTTTATTATTTAGAGTTATTTATTATGCATACTCTAAATGAATTGTTTATTAATTTCTATTTCTGAGGTTTTTTTTTGTTTTTTTTTTATGATTGTATATTTATAAGATTGTAAATATTATAAAATATGTATCATGGAAGTGGAAGGTGGGTATTGATTTTTCTAATTATCAATGAAAAAAAAAAAATAAAAAATAAATTTGCTATTCTAATTAATTAAATAACCAAGATTTTTCTATTATTTGCAATTATTCAATTTTTTTATATTCGTGGTGTTCTTTCATTACATGCCGAATATATTTAGCTCGGTAAAGTAACTATGACTTTGCTTCAGGTTGATTACATATCAGGTACAAAGTTGTAAAACTAGCGGTAAAATATCAAATAGATAGTTAAAACCCCACAATGAAATTACATCAATGCCCGGTCAATTTATTAATCAAATCAAATAAATCCTAAATAATTATTGCTCATTGAATAATTCGTTCATTTGAATTTATTATGTTTATATAATTAAGCCTTAAAAAAAAAATTTTTTTTAAGAATATAATTTTATTTCTTATATATGGGCATTAATTTATAAGTGCAATGTACATGTTTTTTTCATTATACAGTAAATATAAACTCTCAACGAGTACAAATACTCTTTCTTTCTTTCTTATATTTTACAGCTACTGATAGTTTAATTTTTTCTATTTAGTAATGTCTGAATATAACATAAAAATATTATTAGTATTCAATTGCTTTTCAATAAATAAATAATTAAATAAATAAATAAATAAATTTTTGGAACTATTGGTTATATGTAAATTATATAAACTATTAATACAAAACTATCTGATAAAATATTGTATTAATACAATTATATGCTTTAAAAAAGCATAAAATCTTGCTGTGTTACGAAAACAAATATATTAATTAATTTAAATAAGTCTGTACACATAAATTGCAGCAAAATTATGTGTTATTTACGCGGGTTATTTATATCATTTATTAAAAATTAATTATTAATTTATAAGATAAAATGAACGCGTAGTTCACAATTATCCTATTTATTTTAATTTCAATATGCTATTTGGTTATAACATCGCTTTCCATTATTAAAGTATAAATCTTTTTTTATTAATTATATTGATACAAATTACATAAAACAATATGACATTTAATTATAAACCTGTTTATTAATGGTGATCTCATAGTAGAAAATGTAATCTCGATCCTCGATTGATTATAAGGACACAGAAGTCATTCAGAATATTATGAACTCAGAATAAATCTTACATTAATTTTCTTATATTAATAGTTTCGAAACTTTTATTGATACAATTTAGTATTCAAGATTGTTTAAATTATATATTGTATAAAATGTACATCTGCGCGTGCAGGGGTTTTTTTTTTTTTTTGCAAATTTTATAAAATACATGTGTGAAAATATGTAAATAAATCATAACGTAAGTGTTAATATAAATTTAATATTAAAGCGGGTAAAATGTATTGACTATAAAAAAAAAAAGAAAAGATTTGTCGCAAATCCAGTTTATGATTAAAACCGTTGTTTTCAATTTAGTAATTACTTTCAAGATATATAATTAACAATGCAATAAAAAAAAAAATACATTATATAAAAAAAAGTTCTTCGTCGTTGTTTATGGCTTAGCATACACACTGTCATCAATTTTTGTTATAATACTTTTATGCGAATGTATAAACAATATACTTGAATATGTACATTTATTTTATACAAATGGGCTATACGTTAAAAATTAAAAATCTGTTACAGTTTTTCATATTGGAAACCGTCGATTTCTTTATCTAGATGACATCATCAAGCAGAGACTGCATACCGCCCGCATTGTTTTTATTTAAATTATTTATTGTTTTGAAACTCTGACAACGTGCTATAGCCTAAATAAAAAATTTTGAGAATGTTATTCATTTAAATTATAAATATGTTTAATATCATTTATTAAAAAAATAATGGAATAATTAATTTTCATTTAAATATTACATACACAATAATGTAATAAATATAATATTATAATAATTATTCGATATAAAAATATGCTAAGAAATAGTTTATAGAAACGAATAGATATTTCTTGCTGGAATGGATATTACACAAAGATCAACTTTATTTATTTGAAACATTTATAAGCATTATTAAGTTTATATTCATATTTTACTCTCATTATTTAAGTTTTATGACTCATTTGACTGTAAAATCTCTTACAATTTATGTAGTTATTAATCTAAATATTTGGTAATTCTCCTAACAAAAATTTATATAATTTATATTTATATTTGCTGCTCAAATTCTGCGAGATAATTATGTTTTTATTTAAATATACATCTACGAATAGTAATAATTTATGAAAACTTTACCGGTAGCTTGTTCCATAACTTAATAAAGTATAATCCAAATTTTTTATTAACTATCGGCAATTTTAAATTTATTATATCATATAAAATATTCACAATTTTTTATTTATCATTAATTAGGAAAATAAAAAATAAATAATTAAATAAAATTATATATATATATATATAAATTTATTTATAATAATCATTTTATTTGAGTAATGTATATTAGTTAAAAAATTTGTTATTATTATATAATAACAATATGTAATGTATTAGTATTAATAAAAATATTGTTGAAACTTTAAACGTATTTTAATTTTATCAGTTAGTATTATTGTTATTTAATTAATTTTTAATTTAAATAAGAAATATAAATGCTATTCTCTAATTTGAATTAGCAATTTTTTTTTTATTTAAAATATCAAATGGTTACATCTATCACATCTATCGCCTCTGAATCAATAAGTGTCTAAATGAATTCTAATTTTATATTAACCAAAATGTTGTATATTAAGTGAAGTTTTCTTTCTTATTTACGATTTATTTATTCCTAATGCATGGGAATAATTGACGACTTTTAAATAATTAATTTTAATTTACATATAAAATATGTGCTTTTTATGTTCAATAGTATTTACTCATTTGTATATTTAATTATACAATACTTATAATAGAATTGTAATTCGAAAATCAATAGTGTAAGGATCGAAATGTTTATAATACAACTATATAAAGTTAAATCTTCAATTCTATCATATATTTAATATATGTTATAAACGAAGAATAAAGATTTTCTTATTATACTGGTGTAACAACGTTTTTCAGCTATCGCAAAAAAAATTATTTTATCATAACAACAATTTTAGCTTGTAAACGTTAATGTAAATGACCGAATGTATACATTAATAATGTAAAGTAGTCCAATACTCATAAAATATTTATATAAGATGTTTAAACTATACACATTCTATAACAATTTGTTTCACTATAATTAAATTATTTCATTATCATTATTCATTATTCCATTATCTTTATCCAGCTTTTAAACTTTAAAATGATATTTATTAATAATTACTTTAGCAGTATGTAGAGTGTTATATTATGATTATGGAAGGAAATTTTTTTTTTCTTATACGTTAAAGGTGAATGGAAATATTGTTTAAATGTCACTTTATGAAAGAATTTGAAGGATACAGAAAAGAAAAAAGAGAAAAAAAAACCTTACCAAAAAAGTTTATTAATTATACGAAACTATCAAAAATTATACAATATATTTTTAGTGAAAAAAGTTGGAAGACTTAATATGGCACAATTATTCAGTATTAATGGGCTTAAAAATTTTATTTCACAAATATATCACAATTGTTTTTTGTTAAAGCTCCATGAAAATTCAAAACTTAAGTAGTCTTAAGAGTTTCATAATAAACTCGACAAGTAATGAATATTAGAATATACACAGATTAGCTATATTAAATGAGTTTATAATTTAATATTTGACATAAATATCCGTCGATATTTGGGGCGGGGGATGGAGGGGATTTGGAGTATTTGAATTTTTGGGGAATTAATAGTGCAATCAATGTTTCGGCTCAAATGTTTCCTCTTAAATCGATTGTATCTTAATTTAAAAATCGCGCTATAATCAAATCAGTCGTATCGATGAACGTAATAATTTAAGCCTCGTACTGCGCAAAATCGAAATTTAATTCCATGACATATTGGTCGATGCCCCTCCCATATTTTGAGAATGACGGACTGCCTGCTCGTAAGTATGAACATTCGAGGAAATGCAAATGCAGGTCGTAATGGCGAAAGAAGCTAGATAAGGGAATTAGTAGTAAAGAAATAAATTTAAATTGGCCACAGGCAGCATTATTTCTAAAATGCATGGGTATAATAATGCGGCCTTAAAGTCGAATGAGAAATGTATTAAAGGAATAGTCGATCGGTTGTCGTAACGAGTACAGCAGAGTGTTACAGCTATTTCCATAAAAAGACAGGGAAATTTCCCACTCTATGTTTACCCACTCGTCCCTCATCTTCGTGCAGTGGAAATTGGAATGGTTATTTCTTACTGCGGTTGAGCATCAGGAGTGGCGGCTCGACTGAATGATTTCATCGTTATTTTAAGTTTTACGGAGACGGTGTGCAGAGTGCAGTGGAGATCGACGTAAAATTGACACGTAAAGAATGGAAGATATATTTCAATGGTGTCGGGAGGGTAATGCGATGCAGGTTCGCGTTTGGCTTGACGATACCGAACATGATATGAATCAAGGGTATGTCATAATGCAATAGTTAAATAATAATAGTTTCTCGATACATTTTTAATGAATTGATTTTTTTTATTTAGAGATGACCATGGATTCAGCCCTCTTCATTGGTGTTGTAAGGAAGGGCATGCAAAACTGGCTGAGTTACTAGTCAGTAGAGGAGCTCGCATCAATGCAACGAATAGAGGCGACGATACACCGTTGCATCTAGCTGCTGCTCACGGACATAAAGAAATTGTGCAACTGGTGTGTATAATAATGGCTTCTTGCGCAAAGATTTCGTGATAATTGTTTGTGATATTACTTAGTTGCTGAGGAACAGAGCAGACGTTAACGTTACCAACGAGCATGGGAATACGGCGCTTCATTATGCATGTTTTTGGGGAGATCAGGCGGTTGCCGATGATTTAGTGGCTGCTGGTGCATTGGTGTCGATTGCAAATAAAGATAGCGATACACCGCTGGATAAAGCTAGAGGACCTCTTGCCAAACGATTACACGGTGAGTAACGAAACGACGAGGTGAGATGTAGAGACAAGAGGAGATAAGCTGTAACTTATAGGATAAATAAATTCTTAGATCTCGCGGTTGAATTTGGGCAAGATTTAAAAAAGATTCAATTCAAGGACCAGAGTTGGCTTGGCCTTAAAACGAGGAGCCGTAAGTTTGTATTATAACGATAACAAATTCATTGAAATCTTGCCACTAAATTGTGCATCTTGATTTGATAACAGGCGATGCAACTTTATCGAGACATAAAGGAATCAATATGGCAGATTTATCGTTGCACACGCAATTAGCTGTATCTCCGAGTGGAGAAACGTGGAGAGGGCGTTGGCAGAACAATGACATTGTTGCGAAAATTTTAAGTGTACGCGAATGTTCAGCACGAATTTCCAGAGATTTTAACGAAGAGTTTCCTAAACTTAGAATATTTTCACATCCAAATGTACTTCCAGTTTTGGGCTGTGTCAATCAACCCCCGAGACTCGCCACCGTTTCACAATATATGGCAAGAGGTAGTCTACATCGTTTATTACACGGTGGCACTGGTGTAGTAGTCGATACAGCACGAGCATTACGTTTAGCACTCGATGTTGCGAGAGCCATGGCATTTTTACACGGTCTAGAGAGGCAAAATCGATGTAGATTTCATTTAAATAGTAAACACGTTATGGTGAGTGATTAATATATTGTCATCATAGTAACATTACTCTCTAGTCGATTAATTTTATATTATAATAATTTCAATAGATTGACGAAGATTTAACGGCGCGAGTTAATATGGCCGACTCGAAATTTTCGTTCCAAGAAGTTGGTCGGATTTATGAACCAGCTTGGATGTCCCCAGAAGCTCTGAGTAAAAAACAATCTGATATAAATTTAGAAGCAAGCGATATGTGGAGTTTCGCTGTTTTATTATGGGAACTCGCTACTAGAGAAGTTCCATTTGCTGATTTATCTCCCATGGAATGCGGAATGAAGGTACACTTTTTACTTTCAAAATCAACAATCAATAGTGACGTGTAATTTATTTATATCATTTTTTTAGATCGCTTTGGAAGATCTTCGAGTTAGTATACCACCAGGGATTTCACCACATCTTGCAAAGCTTATTAGAATTTGCATGAACGAAGATCCAGGAAAACGTCCCTCCTTCGATATGGTTGTACCAATTTTAGACAAAATGAAACGTTAAAAATTATCTATGCATATACTCGTATAAATAATGTGTTCACAAAAATTTTGAAGCTTCGATATAGTTAGAAAAGTATAATCTAAACAGATTTATTTGTAGTATAATTACTAACGAGACAGTTGTAATATTTTTATAATATTATATTTTTAAATTATCCCAAAGTGCCTAAATATAATATTTATTAAGGCTTTCCTAGATTTTAAACATGACATTGATTGCTAATTTTGATAGATGCATTTACCAATATCTACAATTAGATATTTTTCTATAATGAAATATTATATATATACACACACACACACACACATATATAAATTTATTTATATACTAAAATTATAAGAATTTTTATATATATAATATTTATCCAAAATAATAACTATGAATTTATTTCTTCAGCAATAATAATATTAATTGCATTAATTGTACTAATTTTCATGTATAATTCAATAGAGTACACAAGAATACAAATACTAAAACATTATATTTACTTAAATATTAGAAATTTGAAAATCATAATAACCATAATATGAAAGATACTATCCGGAAACTTTTGATTGTAACGAGGCAAAAAATTAATTTTATTAAAATATATCTTTAAAAGCTTTTGCGTTTGCGGAAAAAGTATTTATGGATAATATCTGCATTAAAAGGAATTTATCAATGTATATAAGTGTATATATATATATATATATATATATATATATATATATATATATAAGTGCATAAGTGTATGAATATAAATAAAATAAATAATTATTGAAAATATAATTCAATGGTATATTATTTATTTATTTTCTTACTTATTGTTATAGCGAGTTTTGTTATTTGTTAATTGTTTATCTTCGAATCATTCATAAAGCAGTTCAATTTTGATGATGAAATTTATAATTTAAGACATTGTTACGAGTGACATTAAAACTTCGTTTAAAAAATATTTAGAATAAAAATTATAATCATATTTAGAAATTATTTACGCTTAATTCGATTAGTTTTTATAAATAACTATCGCACGTTTAAGTTGTCGACTTTTTGAATTAATAATATATTATAAACATACCCTTAACATTCAATTTATATTAAATAGATAAAAATATTTTTTATGAAATTAATCATTATTATTAAAAAAACTTTTTGATTAATGCATTTATTATCATAGATAATTACCCGTTTAATATTATACATACATATATATTATATTTGTGAAGTGCAATGTACGTTTTAAGTTTGGAATATGTAATTAAAATTATAATGTCAAAATAATTTTACTATTTTGTTGACTTATTGTTGAATAAAATATACATATTAACATATGTAATTAAATAAAAATTTGAATTATCCTTCGATTAATGAACAAAAATGTATAAGGCCAAAGCCATTTCATTACATGAGAATGGTAATTTATTAATTAGCAAACTACAGTGATACAATAAAATTATAAGAAATATTTATTTATAAGAATCCTATTACGTTTTTTAAAAAGGTAGTAATTAATAGCAATTAATAAAATCAGCAAAGATTTCTGCACAATTCTAATTACATATAAAAGACGTAAAAATAATACAATTATTATCGTGACTTATCACGGCATACGTACAAATGAAATAAAGTATAAAAATTAATCACTATACGCGTATAAAGTATAGAGATAAATCTTTTAAAATTATTGATCTTACTTTAATTAAATAAAGTATGTTTAACAAGATGTAATGGCGAATAATAAAATGTAGATGTCGCGATAAAAGTAATGCAGTATTTCTTCATGGATTATTAATTGTATTTTTAATAAAGTAATTTCGAATAAAATTCTTCGTGAGCGATTTGTAGATGATTATGATTTTAAGTAAATTATTGGTCGCAAATTTATATTAAAAATTTCTAAACCAATAATCACGTTATTAATACATTGTCATGTATAACCGACAATAATAATAACAACAACAATAACAACAGCAGCAACAACAACAACAACAACAACAACAATAATAATAATAATAATAATAATAACGATATAATAACGATAATGATTACAGATGTGATATTTGAGTTGGTCGACTGATATTTCAATCTCAAATTATTCTTTCAATGGTTAGCGAAGCGTATGTGGCAATCGCCAGGGCATTCTTCTGCATATACTTGTTCCGTATTTTTATTTCGAAAAAACATATAATTCCAAAATAGCTTTTCAATATCTGTCGCTTAATTCAAAATCATTTCGCAAAAATGATTTGAGATTTATCTTAACAGCGTGGACTCGTGTAAGCAATGTCAAAACTCCTATTTCGTTGGAAAATTCGAGCGTTAAAGATCTGTCCACGGTTCGGTCCCGTATACCTATTATTATTATTATTATTATTATTATTATTATTATTATTATTATATCATCGCGTTAGTCAACGACGACTTGGGCAATCGACGAGGTGAATACCTGTACGACCGAGCTGGATTTTACATCCCGATTCATTCGATTTCTACGATAAGTCGATGAAAGGCGATTACCATTTCGTCACCACATGGCTCATCCACAAACTCTTTTCACCATCACTCGTGATCCAGGAATTTTATCTCAAACTGTCCCGAACTATTTCGCCTGACTGACGACTCGCGCTATTGAATACCAGCCGAGCCAATATCAATATATCTGGCTTTCGATATTTCAACCTCGCGTTAAAGCCTACTAGCACCTCTAACTTATCATCTCCATTTATCCCTGAGCCCATTTCAGTTCATAAGGTGTCGACGACTTTTAGTGCTAACTAAATTACCCCTACCAAAGATACTAGAAAGCGACCTCTCACGATGACTTATATGTGTCATAGGCTACTAAGCCCAGCGCAGCAGCCGATGACAGTTAGTTAGTTAATCCAGTATCGGTAGGTAGCTAGTTGGTCAACTAATAAATGTTCGACGAGAAGCGATCGACAAAGTAATAAGAAACTCACCTCCTAATCGGTGTCGGCCAGTCAGCAACACGATTGCTCGTACTTATCTCGTATCTCGTAACGTCCCGGCGAACGTCGTAAACATCAAACAAATAGCGTTTGCGGATGCTTGATCATTGGCAATAATCCTATCCTGTCAATGATGATATTCATCGATGATATTCGTAACGTGTGATTAAACACACCGTACAGTCGCATCTTTGACCTCTGCTAACGTCCGGGGAGATTACAGGTGTAACCGTTTTTCGTTTTAGTGATAATAGCCAAACACGAGGCTCCGGAGTATGCACTCTGATATTTAATCGTACACGATGATAATAAAACTTATTGCAATCTCTAAGTGAAATTTGTCCAAAGCATCAAGGTCAATCCCATTTCCCATCGGCAATTAAATAAATGAATCGAAATAGCTGAGCGTACGTCGTGTGCATTTATCAAAGTGCAAATGAATAGTAATGGTAGGCGACTTAATAGTCGATTTATTAATTTACAGTGCTCAACGAACCATTACTATATCGTACGAGCGCCATTTAAATAAGCTTGTTTAACAAAAATCGGAGCTTTCTCAGAGGTGAGAAGGTTAGAATAATTGGATATCATTGGGCCTATAAAAATATAAATAAGTCGGGATCGAGCAGCTTTGAATTAAGAAGAGATGTTATTCTAAACAACATATCTTATAGGTTGACTGTATTTTGATTTGCTATCGCCGCTCTCTTGATAAACAGCTCCACTTCGCTTCGAATACAATATATTATGGTAGTGAAATAAGAGAAATTCACATTATTTGGATATTTTGTTACAATTTTTCATAATAATCTTTCATATTAACGTCGCAGGTATTTGTATAACGTGCCCCCTCAATGTAACGAACGATCCATTACATTTCTCAACGCACATTCTATATCTTAGATATGGCAAATAAACTAACAAATACAAACACAATATTGTTTATTTTATTATTAACATGTGATGATAATAACAACAATAACAATAACAACAATAATAATAATAATAATAATAACAATAACAACAACAACAACAACAACAACAACAACAACAACAACAACAACAACAACAACAACAACAACAACAACAACAACAACAACAACAACAACAACAACAACAACAACAACAACAACAACAACAACAACAACAACAACAACAACAACAACAACAACAACAACAACAACAACAACAACAACAACAACAACAACAACAACAACAACAACAACAACAACAACAACAACAACAACAACAACAACAACAACAACAACAACAACAACAACAACAACAACAACAACAACAACAACAACAACAACAACAACAACAACAACAACAACAACAACAACAACAACAACAACAACAACAACAACAACAACAACAACAACAACAACAACAACAACAACAACAACAACAACAACAACAACAACAACAACAACAACAACAACAACAACAACAACAACAACAACAACAACAACAACAACAACAACAACAACAACAACAACAACAACAACAACAACAACAACAACAACAACAACAACAACAACAATAATAATAATAATAATAATAATAATAATAATAAGAAGAAGAAGAAGAAGAAGAAGAAGAAGAAGAAGAAAAAGAAGAAGAAGAAGAAATAGACCAATTGATAGGTACATGTGTGCGTTGACCAACGGACGTTTACGTTTGTATTATTAAAGCTATAGATGTAAAATTTTTAATATTCGCAGCTTTGAAGTAATACTAATTTTTGGAAAGCAAGCTTTAAAGAAAGATGTTCATAAATGCCGAAGACTCGCGTTTATTGCAAATGCATTATCGAACGATAAATTTCTAAACTGTTTAACATCAATTTCAAGCAAAATAATAGTGTTCTCTAAAATTCGAGAATTTCCTATTAATAAAATTCAGCTATTTATCGGTCGTACGGCACGAGTGAGCCGTGCCTGTCTCACTTCGCGTCATTTTCTAATTTTTCAATACGGCCTATTCCGAAATGCCAAAAACGGCAATTCTTGTATAATTTAGAGGCACATTTTCCCATTCGATTTATGAAATATAATTCCGTTAGAATAAGACCATTAGTTTGGTTATTTATTTTGTGTGCGCGCTCGCGCGTGCGTAAACGCGCACTCGTGTGAGCTCGCGTGCACATATATTTTCTCTCCCGCAAGCAATAATTTACATGTCCGAATGCATAAGTATATCTCTACATTTATACACCAACGTTCATTCAACATCTTAAATAAGATTTATTTCATAAAACGAATATACTATTTTTCGTATGGGTAATCCATATTTTGTTATGGGGGACGGTAAAAATAGACACTGCTGATATATTGTCTTCTTAGTAATGCGTTTAAATATATTCTGGGAATAATGTATGCATTAAATAAAGAAATGCTGCGTTATTAAGGCTCGTGATTTTTGGTTTTGTACATTACAAGTCGTTTCTTCAGAGTGGGTTGATGCAGAAAACTATTTCAAATCGATAATCGATGATTGAAAAGTGCACGATAAAAATAGTGTTCAAAAGATAGTTCCGTTTTAAATTGAAATTACTAGAAGAAGAACAAAGAAAGGGGGGGGGGGGAAACTATAACAAGCCTTTTGTTCTTATAAAAGTAAAATTATTGAAAGGTGAAGAGGAAGGATATTGGCAATTGTCCATCATACTTAATCGTTCCTTTACGCATCAAATGCTCTCACACACCTGCGCTCACGCGACGCACGCACGCACGCACGCACGCACGCACGCACGCACGCACGGAGGACAGACAGAACGAGTAAGATGTAATCATTAAAGCATAATCCGTAGTACACTGATGATTTTTGTGATATTTAAGTTTAATTTAATTTATTTTATTTTTGTTGTTTTTTGTTTTTTTGTTTTGTTTCATTGCGATACGATATAGTGCATTAAAATGTCGTTAGCCATGCCCCAAGAGCTGTGAAGGCACGTATTAAACAAAAAATAAAATTAAATTAAAGTAAAATATACATTATTTGTATATATGCGTGCGCGCGCGCGTGTATATAAAATAATTATAAAGGCAAAAAAAGGGGAAGAGAAGAGAAAACAAAAAAAAGAAAAGAAAATGTCCAGACATTCGTTGTTTGCAGGGATTTCCAATAAACGATGCGACATTAAAATGCATTGTTATTTGAGTAGAAGATAAGGTAGACGAGCTTCTTGTCGGCTAAGAGGCTGGTTGGTGTGACGGCGAGAGTAGTTAAATCGGAAAATCATGGCGAATCTAGAAAAGTTAGCCGTAAATGGTAAAGCTCAATCGTCGCTCCTTTGAAAATTGGTGAATTGGAAGGAAGGCGGTGGGGTGCGAGCGTGTGTAGGTGCGGGCCATCGCTACCCTCTTTGCCCCGGGGCACATCCCCAGGTACGGCAGCGAGACGTCGTAGCCAGCCAGCCAGCCAGCCAGCCAGCCAACCAGCCAACCAGCCAACCAGCCAACCAGCCAACCAACCAACCAACCGAGTATATCTGTACGTATGTAGGTAGATATAAAGCGATGCGTACGTGACCCGAGCGACGGCTTAGCTACGAGCGCGAGCGAGAGGGGCCATGAGAGCGCAGAGGGAGGGGGCCACGCGTTGCCAGGGGGTCGGAGGGTACGGGGGTGATGTGGGTAGGGACAGCGAAGTGGTGTCGGAGAGGGGGTAGCACGGAGAGTGAGACAGAAAGCGATACTCCTGCTGCTGGTGCTCCGTAAGCAGCGAGAATCGAATCCCCGAGACTGTGAGAAGCGTGCACAAGGACCGTCGACTTTTTAATTGCGTAGCTCCAGGTTGAAACGCGGAGTTGGCGAGGGAAGCGACGGATATTTTCAAATGGTCGCGCGTAGGAGTCGTGTCCTCCTGATCGGCCGTCGCAGCGACTGAGAAAGACGGAAGCGCTCGGCACGACGCTTCTCAAAAGATTCAACAAGAGCAACACAACGAGTCCGGAGGCGTCCCCGCGGAGTGTCGATACACAGGAGCAATTAGGAGCGCGACGATGGGAGTGCGAAGTGGAGTGGTGTCGCGGTTGCTGCAACAACAACGGCATCGTCGAGCACATCCTCGTCTCGCATCCAAACTGTAGGATAGCAGCGGTCGTCTGCGATAGCGCAAAACGGAGAAAGATCAAGGCAGTGAGAGTGAGTGAGTGAGTGAGTGAGTGAGTGAGTGAGTAAGAGACTGCGTGCGCGCGTGTTTGTGTGCGTGCGTGCGTGCGTGTGTGTGTGGGAGAGAGAGAGAGAGAGAGAGAGTGTGTGTGTGAGAGAGAGAGAGAGAGAGGGAGAGGGAGAGAAAGAAAGAGTGAGAGCGAGAAAGGGAAA